CGCGTGATTATTCAGTCAGCACATACATCCACGTAGACGCTTTGAGAATGCACCTAACACATTTCGCTCAGATTCCATCACATCACCTCGCCTCACTTCGAACTTCTAGGCCCCACTCAGCGTTCACCGCAAGTGTAGCTCAGCATTGCGCAGTGCTTCCATTGCACTTCACGCATGCAGCACGGCCGCCGATACCATTAAGGTGCCTACACCAGCTCCAAGCCATTCTTACAATTCCTGGCATCCAGAATAAGAAAAAATACGTCGAATATAGCCCTGAAACAGGCCCCATTACTCTTCCTGCAAGAGAGACACAACAGCCACCTAATCAATTACTCAGATGGTTCTGTGTCTTCAGTAAACTCAGCAGGTGCGGTGGTTCTTCCCGCGAGGTCCATCACAATTAAAATAATGACATGGCATTTGACGTCGTCGACAGCTGCAGAACTCGCCGTCATATGTGCAGCTCTGGAGTTTAGAGTTGAATAACCTTCGGAAACTTTGTGTATCTTCTCGGACTCGCAGGCAGCTCTTCAATGTCTCATGTCACCCTTTTGCTATTGACATAATGAAAAGTTAGTAGCTGAAATAAGGCTTCTTCATCACCAAGCAACCGAGAAACAACACAGCATAGCGTACCAGTGGATACCAGGTCATTGCGGTATATATGACAATGACCGCACAGATGAGGCCGCTAGATCTGCACACGACGGTACTCAATACACAGCCATCCCGTTCTCAAGAACCAAAGCTGCTACAAGGCTTCGTTCGCTTGCACGTAATCTCACACTGGTGTACAGTGGAACTTGACAGAATTCACAAACGCGCACCTGCATAACTTGGATCCTTATCTCCAGCTTCGTCTTTCCTAAGGAATATCTCGAGCTGAGGTGACTCTTCTATGCCACGTGTGGCTTGGAGTGCCCTTCACGAACGCATGCTCCTATCTTATTGAAATGGCCAGCTCTCCTACATGCACTTATTGCAGCTACGAAGAAACTTTCGCCCACCTTCTATGCGAGTGTACCCGTTTCAACGCGCCAAGATAAGAACTTGCTGAAGCTCTGGATAGACTAGATGATCGGTCTTTGTCGAAACAAATAATTCTGGGTCATTGGTCGAGCCCATCGTCAGCCCAGAAGGCTTTGAAAGCTTTGCTACGCTTCTTTTTGCGGGCAACTGGCCTCAGACAGACTCTAGCGTCTTATTTTTTTTTTATTTTGCCTTTCCTCTATTGATATTTTTTTGTATTTTCTCTCTCTCTCTCTCTTTGAAACATTTCTTTTATATCATATTTTATTCCCCTCACCCTTTTCGTCAGCACAGGGTGGCCAGCCGGTCTAAGAACTGGCTAACCTCCCTGTCCTTCCGCTTAATCTTTCCTCCTCCTCATCAACCCCTGTCACACGGCCACCATCGAGCTCTGTTAAACTCCATTCGCGTAAATCTCTCCTAGGAGGTTCGGCGGAGATGGAGTTACGCCCATGTCACACGACAGCTTCACAAGCTTTGGACAGAAGCCGCATGGGGCCCACTAGACGCTGCATTACATTCTCTGCACACAATATTTCCCAGCTAATACTTCTGAAAACATTTTCAATCGTACGTCGGATTATAGAAACTGTAAGTTGTTTACACCGAAACAAGCAAAAACGTTATGGCAGTTATCCCAGACGCGTACGCCTGCAAGCAAGTTGGCAGTAATGTTGACAGGAACGCTGGCAACACTGTACGTTTGTTTTGGTACGCATCTTTTCTACGTACACCGTCTGTCACATTGTAAGTTGACGCCGGCTTCTTTGATGTTGCGCTACTACGCAGATCAGAATCTTCGTTACAATATCGAATGAGCGCGGGTCTCGCGTTCAGTACACGAAGCCCCTGCTGCGCATGGGTCACACCATAGTTCGCATGTCTTTGCCGGCTCGACTATACCGGCGTCGACGAAGAAGGAAAACCCGCGTCAACCACTTCTATGAATTTTGGCTGTGTTGAAGTAGAATAAGGAGCACAACAATAAGAAACGAACGGGTTGCAGAGATGTAAACACCATGATGCGCACGGATAGGATGTCTGGATGAACTCAGAAAAACGTTTTCAAAATGACGACACGGTAGCTTTAGTTGATGCAGGATGCGGAAACTACGTAGACTTGTACATGTATTTTCTTTTCGTTAAACGGATGTTAGGCAGAAGATAATGCAGTAAAAAAACTTGCAATAGTGGTAAAGTTTTTTACTGCGTCGACTGCAGCTGTTTTGTGTTAGCAGTTTTTTCCATAACTGCGTAGTTGCGGAAATGGGAGCATTTTCTTCCGTCACTAAGTAAGATCGCCGAACTTCCTTTGCAAAAAACTACGTTTAACTGCATTGATGTATAGGAAACTGTGTGATGCAAACCGCATCTCCGCTGTCATAAAGATGAGGAAGTGAAACGGCGTTCACGGGTGCCCATGAGACAGGGGTATTCAGCTGCTCACCTCGGAAGACGAACGTCGACAATCGTCTCACTGAGCTGGCTCACTGCATATTTGAACTTCCGAAGAGAAAGACCCCACCTGAAACTTTCCAAATTTTCCGTGTGGTTGGGAAGCAGAATCATTATGCTTGTCGAGACCAGTATAGGGCGATTCTAGTAGTGATCGAAGCTCCGATGGTGAGGAGTCTGGCGTACCATGCACTTACTGTTACCCGCATGGTGTCAACTTTGTGCGTACCATCGAAGCTCGTGTACGAGAAGGCATCTATGATGTTCGACATCTTAAACTTTGTGCTCGAAATCCCCTTAAACTAGATGGCGTCAAGCAACACTAGTTTTGTGTCTTCCACCAATGATGAATCAAACAACTTAGCGATCTTCTGCCGCGTCATTTGGCGCACCCACTATAGCTGACACAAGTCCCAGCTTCAAGGCCAGCGCCAGCGACGTTGGCTTTGACAACGTAGGCCCCGAATCTGTCCTCCAGTGCTTGCACGTATTCCGGCAGAGCGTTCAACTTGACGTCAAGGACAGTCGCGTTCGCGATCTCAAGCGTCCAGCTCGACGGTGCCAGTAGTCGACGAGATTCCTCTGCGTACTCGCAGAAGACTTCGTCCTGCGCGATTCCCGTGTCGTTGTAGCCAAGAAAGTCCTAAAGTTCGTCATGTGTCACGCCTTCTTCGCCAGTGTAAAGCGTGACAAGTGTGGAGGCTACGCTGTGTGGCGAATGAAAGACGTTCCCAGACTCCAAACTTGGCAAAATGATTAGAAGCCGGAAAGCGAAGTCGTTATTTGCGGCTGTCATCCTCGCATCGTCCTGTGCCGATGCCACTCCGAAGGTGGTCCCGACTAGAAAAACGACCGTAAGCTCTCCAATCTTGTACCTTTATGAAAAGAAAGAAGAAAGTGCCTCCTTTTGCAGATTGCTTCAGCTGGGTCTAGTTATACATTACACGTTACTGTAAGGTATTGGTATTTAACTGCAGAAAATTGAACAGTGTAATGAAGACTCATGATTCCAGAACCACTGTCGATAACCAAGTTATCCTGATTGGCTATAGCTAAGCGGGGGGAGGAGGTAGGGAAGAAAAATAACTAGAAGAAAAATAAGAGAGAGAGAGAGAGAGAGAACGAGTAATATGCGCTCACACAAATCAGCGTTCACAGCATCAGTTGTGTCACCCGCGATCATCGACGCCAGCGTAGCTCTCGCCAATTGGCCCGCCGTCCACGATATCCTGACGCCGTATAGCTGTCGCCGAGTGGTGCGCGTCCTCTGACTCCTTCCACTGTGTCCGCCATTTTTCCTAGTTCTTCTATCCTCTTTCTTTACTCGTGTGTGGTGAGTGCTCCATCTTGTATATATGTTTCTCCTTATACGCTTCTTTTTTTGTCCTCTTACCCCACCCCCTACAAGAAGCTTAGCTGTGTCACCCATGAGGCACACGGAAATGAGCTCCTTTTTCCTATCCTTCAAGGACCACTTACAACTTCACAGCACCCATCCAGGCGTCCACCGTGGTGGAACAGTGTTTATGGTGCTAGGTGCCTGGCCCGAAAAGTGCGGCTCCGATCGCGGCCGGGGCACTCGCACTTCGTTGGTGACGATATGCCCGAGACGCCTGTACTGCACGATATCAGTGCATATCGAAGAACACTATAAGGTTTCTGGATCCCTCCACCAAGGTGTGCCTCAGTCATGTCGTGGTTTTGCACATAAACACTCAGCTATAATTGCAGAAGGATGAATAGGTGGGCTAGTTGCAATTCGTATGGATGCGATAACGTTAAAGTGCCTGTTTCGTAAACATTTCTGGATCAGTGATGCCACTTTTGGTTATGAGCGATAAACCAGCGTTGACCGTGAGCGAAAACTCGAAATAAGTGCAAATAAATGTGGGATCGGCCCGGAGTGTCTTTACGCTTTGGTGTGAGGCTTGTGTTGGTCCAAGGAAAGCTGTCAACTGAACAAACTATTTAATTACACACAAAGCTCAGATATATAGGCACGTCTTCACGCGTCATCGACTATGGCTTCATTCAAGCTCGTTGCACAAATCCCGGAAGCGGAACCAAACTGTGGCCAACTGCTTGGCTGGTTCCCGCTAAGCGCGCTATGTGTCACTCACATCAGTTTTACTTGCAGAATATTATAGGTCTCCGCCGAGAAGTGAAGGTAGGCTGTGTCTGCAGGTGTGTGTGCGCGCGTGTCCGTGTGGCTTATCACGTTCAACTCCTGAACGCGAAGCTTAAGGTTACCCAATTTTTTCGTTCAATTATCCCGGAGTGGGAGCCAAGGACGATAATTGAGGAAAAGCCGCACAACTCAAATAATTCCAGAGGTATTATTATTATTATTATTATTATTATTATTATTATTATTATTATTATTATTATTATTATTATTATTATTATTATTATTATTATTATTATTATTATTATTATTACTATTATCAACGCGACAACATAGCTTATGAACGAACGTGGGCGTATCAATCACTTTCCAGTTGAGCGCGACTTACCTTTGTGCTCTTTCAATGCCGCGTTGCTGCCACCCAGGAGCTGACACAACTAATATGTACAGCCAGCCGATTTCGCTTACTTCTCGCGTTTTGCGCATTTCATAATATGCGCCGGTAGAAATGTGCCACTTTGAAGCTCTTCGGTCCTCTAGAAAGAGACTCTCTGCTAGAAAGCATGCGATACAGTCGAACAATGTGAAAGGCGGCAAAGGAGGGGAGCGTGTTGTTGACCGTGCTTCGCGAGGACACTGTATGCAAGACGCGTCGCGTTGCGGATCCTGTCTTTCCTTCCCGGGACGATAGCGGGAATGACGTGGCTGCTGCTTCGGGCGCGACCCGCACGTGTCGTCGGGCGCGCCCTTGGTAGCGTCGCGACGATTTCCTTGCGCGCTGTATGGACAGTCTTGCAAGCACTTCGGTGCCACCAAGGAGGTCTAAAAAGAATTAGACCTGCCTGGGAACCAAGTAGCCTTAGTCGTTAATAGCGCTTGCACGTCTCAAGTCGAATAACCTTAACGTGTTAAAAAATCTCCCGCTTAATAACGTAACGACGCGCATAGATGCGAAGCAGTGGGCGCTATAACGCTTACATTGGTGGTGGCGTTGATGCTGGCGCTCGTCGCGGCGTTGCGTCGGATAGAAACCTGTGTTGGCTCAAAGCGCGCAGTGATTGACCGGTGTTTCCTACTGGAACTTGATAATCGTTGCTAATGGGCAATGAGGGACAAAAGGCTGTGATTGGACGCAGCGACCCACAGGGTGCATTTAGTTAACGCACACGCTGCGAATTTTTCTTGTTCAACAACGCACAAGAGAAATTTCCCATCAGAACTATCTTGGCAGCCCAGTGAACGGTTGTGCAGCGCGAGCAGTCTGTTTTTCAATCAAGAAACTCGCAAGCAGACGCTGCCTGAGTCGGTGTTACGATGCGAGAAGTGGGGGGGAGGGCGACGTAGAAGAGGAGAGAGTAGGGGAGGAGACGTGCATGCGCAATGGGGCTGTAAACGCTGCGGGGAGGGATGCCTAGAGGCAAGAGAGAGAGAGAGAGAGAAAGTGAGCTCTGACTAGCAGACGCTGCTAGCGTCAGTGGTGCGAGGCGAGAGAGAGAGGGAAGCATCGGAGAGGAAAGAGAGGAGTTGGAGACGCGCATGTGCTGTAAGGGTGGTCACGCCACACACCGGATTGAGCTCGACTCTAAACTGCTTCGCATCTAAAAGAAAAGCTTCGTTTTCCCGTTGGTGCCAAATAAAAGAGCAAACCTATGTTAAATTTTCCAATAATACAAACGCGGCCATCTTACGGACCATAAACATTTGCATTTTTTTTTACAAAATGGCATAGTTGAATTACGGTACGGTGTGAAGAACTAAATTGTTTAGTAAAAATGCTAGCTATCTGCATCCCAATAGCATCGGAAATATATACTGGTTTATACAGTCTACGCTTCGTTTCTATCTCAGTTATCGTGTCTGCTGGTATACTGATAGACGTCCGGCGACAGAAGAGATCGACGGGCGCGCGCCCAATGTGCTTGGACAGTCACTGTCAGAACTTTTTTTTTTTTCACATACGTAAAGTGGGTGGCGTGGGTTCCGCGAAGCGGCCTGTTGTTTTAAACCGCTACACAAGTTGAGTACCTCGGTGCGCACTCACAGACCTATGTCACAATCGTTTCTTTTCACTGTTTGTTGTGGCTTGTTTTTCCTGTACGTGTAGTGGTCTCTTCATGCTTGTTCTTTCAATAAGAAATGTCAGTTGTTTGTCAGCGCCGCATTCATGCACAGTTCTCTCTTCGTTCTTTTCCACATCGGTGTTGCAAGCAGCTTTATTACTCGCTGCCGTCAAAGCGTCGTCAACCGTGACGCATTTATTTTCAACGATGCACCTGCATCGCCAGCAAGCATGATACCACTAATGTTTACAAAGTCTGTCAAAGACAAAACTGTATTCAAACGAAACACTCGATGGATGATATAGATGGGGTGTAGCGGACTTTCTTCGAACCGTTTATGTTGTTTTTATCTGAACCCGAGTAGGATTTATGGCTGCAATCTCTTCGTTTTGAAATTTCGATTCTGCAGGCTGTTGAGGTAGACGGTATATTATCACGCATTGGCTCACAACCTGTTGACTTCTCCGACAAAGAGGATGCCGTTGTTGTCACTTTTTCGAATGAGAAACAGGAACGGGTGATCAGCGCGGAACTCGGGAAGAACGAAGCTTGACTTGCGCACGCCCGTTAAGGTGACTGCAGCTGCCGTGGCTCCGCTCTCGTCCACGTGGATGACCGCCTTGTGCACCACTTCGTCCACGTGTAGGGGGTTGCACCCGTGGCCCGTCATGCCCGACAGATCGGCTTTTTGGGCGTCGAAGACTCTTTCCAAGCCCAGTTTCGCGAACGGCTCTCTCATGAAGTACTTGGTCGTGAAGTTGAACCTGAGTATAGCACGAAAAGTAGAAAGAGGAGCGCTATTAAGAAACCGCTTGTGGAAAAGTTACAGCAGACAAGCACAATGACACTGTATCCGAGCGTGTCTTAGTATTGTGACAATAGTCGGTAAGTAGTGCAGAAGATCAGGTGAAATGAAAGGTTAAATAAAGGGAAAAAATCTTGAACACAGGCTATCTTCGGAACCGACTTCCCGCAAGCGGTCTTGTCTTCTTCAAGGCTGTAGCTGTTCCAATACTGAAACAACGCGAAGGACGAAGTCCACATAAAGACTAGACGCGCGCTTCGTCTTTTGCATAGTTTCAATATGAATGCAAACCAACTAACACAACTATCCCCTTTTGCTGTTGCGACTGTCTTGCTTCGGATGCTGGCCTGGAGGTCGCGGGTTAGGCTCGCGTAATGGGCGATGTCGCTGCACGTGAAAGAACATCAAATAGCCGAAATTTCTGAAGCCCTCCACTATACGGCATTCCTCGTGGTTTTGGGAAGTAAAACCTCATGTGTTATTGTATTAACGCGATAGTGGTAAAGAGCTCATTTCAGTGAAATTCCAGTGTCGGCTTTGGTGTCGGTGCCACTGGTTTTGAGCGAAACATTTTCATCATATGCGTGACCGAAATATCGAGGACGATACAAATAAAATTATTGATAAAAACATGCTGCGTCACAGTGGCAATCGAACCTGGGTAATTTGCGTGGCAAGCGAATGTTCTGTCACACGGCCACACATTTGCTGGTGAAACAGTAAAAAGAACTAGCTCTGCTTGGAAATGCAGTGAAAGTAGCTTTCTCGCATTACAAACGCACGCGTCGATATGCTTCACAATGCAACAAGAAATATTGCAGTAATAATGCGTGGTACAAGCGCCCGTGTACTGCCAGCGGGCATCGGAACATGCTATTATTATAATGGCTCCGTAGCTTAAAGCCAGCCACCCACTACAAAAGGCACACACGCCACTGCGCCTATATCCTTAAGGGCGCGTAGTGGGTGCATAGCCAGCTCGGAAAGGTTTCATGCACTAAGTCTTTGAAGTACGCCCTATATAGAAACAGAATGTCGCTATCGCGTTCACCTCCTAAAGACGAAGCTTTAGGGTCTCTTTATTTTTTCTCATTACAAGTATTTTGCTGCTGCAAAACGACAGGACAGCTTATAAAATCGTTGACCTCAGCTACCTCCCGCGTGCAAGAATTTTTAGTTACATTTAAAAAACCTAACTTATGGTTTAGTGTAGCTACTACGAACCACAAAGATAGTGGCGTCTTGAAAGCTATGTGCGTATATTTTCAATATCTAGGTTTACAAATAACATATAGAACCAAGCACCTGCAGTGTTCTTGCCCAACTTTTTGTCATACCATGATGAAAGCACATGATGATGATAATTTGTGGCTTTGCTCTTTATAACGGGGAAACACATGTCTTATGTTCCAGCCTAGGTATATAAAAAGAAAAGAACAGATAAAAAAGAGAAAGAAAGGATAGAAAACACAAAGAAGAATTCATTTTCGGCACCACTTTCACTATTGTTAGAGCCTTGTCTTTGTGGTGGAAACTGCTTATGATGAAGATTTGCATGTTCTGCTCGACCTCGTGTGCACATGTGTCGTGCTGCTTAAAAGCATCGAAGTTTGGTACTTGTGGCCCAAAAGTAAAATCAGTTTGTTGAAACATTTTTATTTGTGTTTATCCGGTGTAAACTTGTGGTTCGCAGACATCACTGTTCGGGTGCAGCATGCATGCATAATGTACCCGGTCAATTATCTGATCTGCGAGTTTGTACCACGGTGTAAGAATCTTACACCGTGGTTTGTACTAATGATTGATTGATTCATATGTGGGGTTTACCGTACCAAAACCACCATATGAATATGAGAGATGCCGTAGTGGAGGGCTCGGGGAATTTCGTCCACTTGGGGTTCTTTAACATGCACCCAAATCTGAGGACACAGGCATACAGCATTTTTGCTTCCATCGAAAATGCAGCCGCCACAGCCGGGCCGTATCGGTAAAAGAAAGCGACACAACTTAGCCAACAAAAACGTGCTCGTCTTCAAAAATACTTCATGATTCAACGTGATGGTCATGAACTGCTTGCGCTAACAGCACACAAAAAAATCCAGATGCAAATCTACGAAGAAAAACACAGAGTGCTGTTATTATCGTATCTACTTTGCGATTTAAACAAACTCCCAGTTCGAAAACTCGAGTGCATTTTGAGACCACTTTGCGGGGGTTTTAATATCATTTCACATGCCTATTGGAAACTTGTGTGCCTGTCGGTCACACTGTCTAATTATTTATTTTGCCGATTCATTTTGAACAAAACACCGCAAGTGCGTCAAGTGAAAAAAAAAAACGTATAATAGTATTTCCTAATGTCACTATAAAATGTCCTTACGAATGTACAAGTTGCATACTTGGTGAGTTTTGCAGTAAGATTTGGGCATGTTGGTTCATAGTGATGGGAAGTGACAGCGCGACTGAGACAAGGGCTCGTGTGTGACGTGTGTTCTTCGTCCCTTGTCTCAATCGTGCTGTGCCTTCCTTTTGTGATGAAATTTGTAACGAACTTCTACCAGTGGCTCCACTTCTCGCTATTTATTTCGACATCTGACAAACACATACTTAGCCTCCAAGGTGCCGTGGTTAAGGTGCTCGGCTGCTCACCTGAAGGTCACGGGTTCGATCCCACACGCAGTGGTCGCATTTTGAAGAAGGCTACACGTTATAGACCAATGTGCAGTGCGACGTTATTACACATTAGGAAACACTAGATGATAGAAAGTTTTGAACCTTTCCACTACGGCATGTCTCATCATAATTTTGGCACGTAAAGCTATAGACATTATTATTATTATTATTATTATTATTATTATTATTATTATTATTATTATTATTATTATTATTATTATTATTATTATTATTATTATTATTATTATTATTATTATTATTATTATTATTGTGATGTAACGGTGAAGGCAACCTTTATTAGGCCCAGAAGACACGATGAAGCGACCACGCCCAAGGCACAGAACTCAGACAAGCCAAGTCCCCACAGCAGAAGAAGATGACGACCCCTCATGATGATGAATATGTGTAAAGATAGTAGATGTGCGTAATAAATGCCTACACTAACCCCCCCCCCCCCCCCCTAACATGAAAGCGGTCATCCTGACCGCAGTTCTTGGCCGCATTTTAAAGCGAAGAGGAACGCCGTATGAAAGGCTTCATGCGGGATACGTGGACTATTTCTGCTGCCCTGTAGCGGCGGTCCGTTGGAAGAAGAACGGGTGCCACGCGATAATTCACAGGAGACGTTTGCTCCAAGACAGTGTAGGGGCCAATAAAACGTAGTTGAAACTTCTCGCACAGTCCGGGAGTGCGAATGGGTGTAAGAAGGAGGACTTCGTCGCCAGGGCTGAAAGACACGGCACGATGAGACGCATCATATTCAAGCTTCCGGTCCTGTTGCTTGGCTTCAGTGTTGACGCGAGCCAGTTGGTGGCAATGAAGTAGACGAGACACGTATTTTTCACTTGAAGATGAACATGGTTTGACAGGAGCAGAGAAGAACGAAACATCGAGGAAAGAAGAGGGGAAGCGACCGTGGACGAGGTAGAACGGCGAGTAACCGGTTGTGCGCTGTACAGAGGTATTATACGCAAAAGTGACTAATGGCAAAATAGTGTCCCAGTTTCTGTGGTCGGGTTCGATATACATCGCTATCATATCTGACAGTGTACGATGAAAGCACTCAGTCAGGCCGTTCGTCTGAGGATGGTAACTGGAGCTTGTTTTGTGTGTAGTACCGCATGCCTTGAGCACTTCTTCGATGAGTTCTGAAAGAAATACTCTTCCACGGTCGCTCAGGATTACACGAGGAGCTCCGTGTCGAAGGATTATTGCTCGAAGGTTGAAGTCGGCCACTGCCGAAGCTGATGCAGAAGGCACGGGAGCTGTTTCGGCGTAGCGGGTCAGGTGGTCGACAGCTGTAACTATCCATCGATTGCCCGTGACAGTCATAGGAAGCGGACCATACAGGTCAATGCCAACTACCTCGAATGGTTGCAGGGGACACGGGAGCGGTTGTAATTGTCCACTTCGGGTTGATGTAGGTAGCTTGCGACGCTGACAAAGGGCGCATGAGGCAACGTACTTCGCCACAGAGGTGGACAAACCCGGCCAGTAGTAGTGACATCTTATGCGGTCATACGTTTTCTGGAAGCCCATGTGTCCAGCAGACATGCTGTCATGATATGTCTTGAGGACTTGAGCCCGAAGAGAGCGAGGTAGAACGGGCACCCAGCGTTGACCATCAGGGTGGTAGATATGACGGTACAGGACGTGGTTGTTGAGTTTGAATTTCGTCAGGTGTCGGCGAAGACGGGTGTTAGGGGGCCGGCAAGTCCCGCCAAGACGGTCCATGATGCGGCGACAGTAAGGGTCAGCACGTTGGTGAGATAAGAACAAACCACACTCGCTTGGAGAAGTTGGGTCCACAGTAGTTAATGACGAAATATGTAGGGAAGAGACGGCCGAAAGCTTCTCGAGTGCGGCAGTGGCGTGTTTGTTTAGCGGCTTTGAAGAGAGCGGGCAACGCGAAAGGGCGTCGGCGTCTTGATGCTTGTTTCCCGACTTCTATGTGATCGTAAAGTCGTATTCTTGTAAGCGAAGAATCCAGCGACCAAGGCGGCCGGACAAGTTATTGATTGTCGAGAGCCAGCACAAGGCGTGATGGTCCGTAACCACAGTAAAGTGTCGGCCGTGGAGATAAGGTCGAAACTTTTGTATCGACCATACGACCACTAGGCACTCCTGTTCGGTGCTGGTATAATTCTTTTCGGCAGGGGTCAGTGCACGGCTCGCATATGCGACGACTTTCTCGCGTGAATATTTGTCTCGCTGTAGGAGAATTTCACCAATGCCGCGACCACTAGCGTCTGTATGCAGGAGCGTAGGCGCGGTTTCGTTGAAATGGCAGAAGACTGGTTCGGATGTGAGTGCACACTTCAGTTGGGCAAACGCCGCTTCACATTCAGGAGACCACACAAAGGCGACGCCTGATCCAAGCAACTTGTGCAATGGTGAAGCTATTGAGGCGAAGTCTCGAATGAATCGGCGAAAATAAGAAGCGAGGCCGAGAAAACTGCGCAAATCTTTGGCTTTTTCAGGACGCGGGAAGTATTGGACTGCGGAAATCTTGTCAGGATCGGGACGAATACCATCCTTGCTTACGATGTGGCCTAACACTTTAATCGTCTTGCTCGCAAAACGGCACTTCTTGGTGTTCAGCTGAAGGCCTTTGTTTGCAAGGCACGTAAGAACTTCTTCCAGTCGTTGCAAGTGCTGAGGGAAGGTCGACGAGAAAATAACAATATCGTCTAAATAGCACAAGCAAGTCTTCCACTTCAAGCCGCGTAAAACTGTGTCGATCATCCGCTCGAATGTTGCTGGAGCATTGCAAAGGCCGAGTGGCATGACGTTGAATTCGTACAGTCCATTTGGTGTTGAAAACGCTGTCTTTTCTTTATCATCCTCGTGCATGGGTATTCGCCAGCAACCTGAACGCAGGTCTAGGCTTGAGAAGTACTCAGCACCTTGCAGTGAATCCAAAGCATCGTCTATGCGCGGCATGGGGTAAACATCCTTGTGGGTAATCTTATTAAGTGCTCTGTAGTCCACGCAAAATCGCACGGAGCCATTTTTTTTCCTTACTAAAACAACAGGGGATAACCAAGAACTCGTGGAGGGACGTATAATGTTCTGTTGCAGCATGTCGGCTACATTTTGTTCAATGATCTCACGCTCGGACGAAGAGACGCGATATGGTCGACGGCGTACGATGGAAGTGTCATCAGTCTGGATACGATGCCTAATAACGGACGTTTGTCCCAGAGATGAGGAATGGGCATCAAACAATCTCCTATGCTTTTGTAGCAAGGCAAGCAACTCATCTGTCTGTGAAGAGGTCAGTTCTTGACTAATAGTCGCAGCAAGATCAGAAACGCTTGATGAACGTCCAATAGAAGGAAGGTCAGAACACGCTGGCATAAGCGGGACAACAGAGACAGGTTGAGAGTCAGAAACGCAAGTCATTGTGGTGCCTTCAAGAATGAGAATTTTCTCAGAAGTCTGGTTTGTAGCGTAGAGAAGTCCGGAGCCATTGTGGAACCGCGCTAGACCTGAAGCAAGGGCTATACCTCTTGCGAGACAGCGTGCAGATGGTTGGACAAACACGTCACCAGAGTCGATCACATTAGAAGTGATGGCAACTATCCGCTGATGACCAGGTGGTAGCTCGGTCTCTTCAGCAGCGAGCAAGCGAACGGGCTTGTCATCCGCATACAGTTTCCATCATATGAACAACATTTCATATAGTCAGTTTCCATCATATGAACAACATTTTCTCGACAGCAGATGGAAGCGTTCGCCGTAGACAGAAAATCCCAGCCTAATATAATCTGGTGGGCACACGAACTCAGCACAGCAAATTGTACAAAATGAAGAATACCAGCTATGAAAACACGAGCGGTGCACATAGCGGCAGGTCTAATGCCGTCCCCTTGAGCAGCGTGTGGTGTAGGTCCATCATAAGGGGTGGTCACTTTTCGCAGACATGAGCACAAAGAACGATCAATCACAGACAAACAAGCACCAGTGTCTATTAAAGCGTCCACGTACACACCTTCTATTAAAACAGATATCGTATTATATGGACGCACTGGAATAATTTCTGTCTTTTCATTCGATGCAGCTTTTCCACCAAAAGCTGCAGAGGTTAGTTTTCCGGGCGTTGGTTGGTGAATTGCGAGACAGGTCACAATGAAGACGTGGAACGGTGGAGGGGTGAGGGTGAGCGGCGTCTAGTAGAGCGGTAAGAAATGGTTGGCTCAGATGTCGCAGTTGGAGATGGTGAGCGACGTAGCGGCGGATCATAAGGACGACGTTGGAAAGCGTACCAGCTTGTACCATCATCCCGTCCATAGGTGTCGAATCCACGACGCTCGTCCTGCTGACTCTTCCGACAGGCCCCGATAGCCGCAGTAATAACAGATCGGACGATGCGGCCGCCACGGTGGGTGAAAGGGCTGGCTAGGCACACTCGGAGTCAACGAAGCCAGCGCGACAGGCGTCGAGTGTGCGGGCATCGGTTGCACGACGGGTGGTGAGCCAGCGAGGACTTGTGCGTACGTCGGCTGAAGTCGAGGTACTGGAGAGTCTACATACGCTGGCCCGGTCATGGACGCCAACTCCTCTTTGATAATATCGCGCAAAACAGTGTTGGAGGGCGGAGGTGGACTCGGTGTCATTGAGAGGCCGAAAGATTGCAGCTCTTCGCGTATTATCGCCCGGATCATGGCACGGGATGAGGCATCAGTCGTGGTAGTGTTTTCAGCGCTGTCCGGCGGTAACCGTTGGGATTCAAGTTCCTCTAGGCGTTGGCACGTGGCAACAACGTCAGCGACTGTAGTCGGGTTTTGAATGACCAAGGCATTGAACGCGACCGTGCTGATTCCTTTCAATAAAGGACGAACTCTCTCTGATTCAGACATGGACGCGCTGAAACGGTGACAGAGAGCAAGCACATCCTCTATGTACGATGTGTAGGACTCACCGCATTGTTGCTTGCGACAATCCAGTGTCTTCTTCGTGAGAGCTGAACAAACTACCGGGGTGCCAAAAATTTAGCAAAGCTGTTGCTTGAAACGTGTTCAGTCCGTATTGTCCGTTTCAAGATTGAAAAATCATGTTTTCGCTACGCCTGTGAGATAGAAAGAAACACGGCGAAGCTTGGTAGGATCATCCCAGTTGTTAGTGGAACTCGCTCGATTGAACTGGTCCAACCAATCCTCCACGTCTTCACCTCGAAGTCCGGCGAACGTGGGCGGCTCACGCTGGTGCGCGGTGATAATCCACGATGGATAGGCCGTGGTAGCCAGGGCCGTGGAGGTAGACGCAGAAGCGCCGGTTGGCGCGTCCTGAGGTATGTTACCGGACACCTGGCACAAACGACGACCTGAGCAGAGCTCCAGGAGGCAGATCAGGCTGGGAGAGGACGGAAGATCGTAGAGCACACTCCACCACTTGTGATTTAACGGTGAAGGCAACCTTTATTAGACCCAGAAGACACGATGAAGTGACCACGCCCAAGGCACAGAACTCAGACAAGCCAAGTCCCCACAGCAGAAGAAGATGACGACCACTCATGATGATGAATATGTGTAAAGATAGTGGATGTGCTTAATGAATGCTACATTATTATTCTTATTATATTTCTGCAGACAAACGACACGGTCGTTCAACGATTGAATGGGGAAACTTAAGGTAAGCTTTATAAAGCTACGGAACTCATCGAGCGTTCCCATAGATAGCTATCTGGTTCGCCGGAGAGTCGTGAGTGACGCCACTACTCAAGCCTTAGTACTTATTGATAACTAGGTACTCTCGTCTACTTCATAGCTGATGTACCACGCACTCGCATACGTAATATAAAAGTGCGTTTACCTCGGAAGATACACCTTGACAAGCCCCGTGGATAGATTATTGAGCGCAGCTTCAAAGGAACGCGGCGAAAGGTGCCTCAGGTTCCTGGCGCTCCTTCTGTTCACCGGCAGAAGTACTGTCATGCTGTAGTCTCCGCCTTCGAAAGGTAGATCCAGAATTGCGGATGACAGTTCGTCGGAATATCCGTGTGATGCATTCATGCGATTGCACATCATATCCACAAGCACTGGCGTCTTTCCATCGTTGAAGAATGGTCGCTTTTTTGTATCCGACTTTTCAAATCTAGTCTGCCAAATTCCTTTGAAATAGATGATATTCAAGAGTACCAGCATGGTACTACGTGGGAAAGGCCTTGCGAACAAGTGTTTTATGTAACCTCGAGTTTCGCGAGCGATCCACTGGTTGATGCCATCGACGACTCTGCTGCCGTTCTTATGGAAGTCAACGTTCATGACATGGGCGTCAAACGCATTCCTCAAGTCATCTAGGTAGTCGCCGAGAAATTCAAAGCTTTGACTGAGTACAGCCGCGTTTCTCTTGCTCACCATAGGGTGAAACGGTGGGAACAGACTTTGGGCGTAATTCCAGTGCTCTTCGAGCACTCTGTCCTTGGCAATGTGGGCCGACTTGTAGCCTAAGACAGAGTACAGCTCTCTTTCAGTCATGTCCCTTGATCCGGCGTAGATCATTCCCATGGCGGTGGACAAACTGTACGGAGAATAAAACACGTTTGGTGCCTCCCGGGATCGAGGCAAGACTGGCAGGAGGCGAAGCCCGAAACAGTTGGAGGCACGTCGCAGTCCAGTAGACCTTGCTGTTGGGCAGGTGCTGACAGCTGCCAGGATGAGCAACACCACTTTCATGATGATTTGCTTTCTGAAAAAAAAAGAAAAGATGAAAATGCGTCGAAATAAACATGCTAAAAAAAGTAGCCGGTGACTAAATGGGCACCTTATACTGCTCTCTGTCTTTCATCTCCCCCATCGCCCTCTCATGCGCAGGGTAGCAAACTGGCTGCCTATACGCTGGTTAACCTCCCTGCCCATTCTTTTTCTCCTATTTTCCTTCCTTCTTTCCTTCCTACTGCGCAGCCAAGAAGGAAAGAAGCAGGAAAAAGAAGAGAAAGCGCGCTGACCTCCAACTATGCTCTTCGCTGTCTTTTCCAGCTTTATTCGTGCTAGCGCACTACGCTATCGATTGATAACTATGAACCAACTAGTCGACAATAAGGTCTTATAACCAATGACATTTCACGTTGTTTTGCTGAATAATGCTGGTGTAGTACTCGGGGGTACGTGAAGATTAATTGACAACTGCTACGCAAAACCGACCTTTTGTGTTTGCCACGACGCGGGACACGAATTTTTCACTGAAGTTCCAAAAGGACTTCAGGGATTTCAGGGACTTCAGGGACTTCAGAATGGCACTGTTCTGTCTTCTCTCCTGCTCTTCCTGCTTCACGATATGTTTTTTGCGCCTCAGTCTTCTGCTCCCTGAAGTTCCTCGCGTCGAGATTGTTGCCAAAACTGCAAGCTCCTGTTTATAGTAAGAGTTATGGTAACAGAAAAACATCAAGCTTAATTTTTATTGGGTTTTGCGAGCTTGTATAGTTTTTGTAATAGCTGGTGGAGTCTCTGATGTAATTACCGCGGTCAATTCTATAGTGTTACACAGAAGGTGTCCTGACCATTTACTGCGCGAGGCCTTAAACACTAGGGATTGACTTACCGTCTTGCCTATACTCCACACCGATAAACGAGGCACGTCTTGTCGAACGATTCGTCTCTCAGACTACAAGACAGCATCACCTACTCGTGATGGGGGCAAAGACTCAAAGGTGCTTTCTCCCTCCAGATAGAACACAGCACTTGGAGGGCGACCCTCGCAGGCTTGTGATGACGTTCGCATAATAGGCTTTACCCAAATAAACGCGTCAAAGGCAAAAAAAAAGTTTTATACGACGCTTGCAAACTCTGAAAGACCCACCTGCGTCGCTTACCAGATGGCAAGTTCATTGTCACAGACGTCGAAGCTACTGAGTAAAAACTTGGTGTGTTGTAAAGTTTGTCATCGGCTGTAATCGAAGAGAAGGCTGAAACTGTTGAAGAGTCATTCAACGCGTTATTCGTGCTGTTTGAGGGCGCACCGATTCAGCCATCAGTTGCGTGGTGTGATTTACAACCGGCTCACCGACAGATGCAGCGGCACCCGCTTCGAAAGCGGCGCACTTGGCGAGCTTCGGCCTCGGCTGCACTTTGCCGTGGTACGAGCAGTGAGTGTGGTTCCCGCACAATGTTTTACAAGTAATGAGACTTCCGTGAAAAACAGAGCTGTATGGGCACTTGTAAAAATTTATTAAATTTTCTTGCATTCATCAGCAGCATCGTGGTAAAAGAAGGAAAGAAAGAAACAGAGAAGAAAGAGAGAAAGAAAGAAAGAAAGAAAGAAAAAAAGAAAAAAAGAAAAAAAAAGAGAGAAAGACCGATAGTTTTCATTGAGTAGGTGCCAGTGACGGCAATGATAACAAACGTATCATTAACAAAAGCAGCCTGATTTCAACAGAGTCGTTGTGTCGGCGGAGCCTTGTGAAGTATGAGGCACCATATTAGCGCAGACTGAAATGTGTAGAAAATCTTCACCTACTGAAATGTTTCGACATGTTTTTCAATATTTTTTTGTTTTTGCGTTACAGCAAAGTTGTGTATGGCTAAGACAAATCAAAGTTCGTTTCGTGCACTGTGCACAGAAACTCGTATAGTGAGTTGTGGGCCACATAATTCGGCGAGACACCCTTTTTTCACTCTGGTCCACTAAAAATGAAGAAAGAAGCACACGGATGGCGAACACCGATGAAGAATTCTGGACCAATAATTAAGAGGTACTTGAATTACCCTCGGGATGACCACACTGGTAAAGATCGACACTGCGCGTTACAGCTTCGCTGGTTAAACATTTGAACGGAGCGCTATAAGACCACAATTTTTTTCAATGCTACCACATCGCAGTGACTGGTGCGTTTGTTGCTGCAGCAAAGACTTCCATCTACCCTGATAGTTTTTAGTCAAGCTGTTTGATACAACAGTAAAACCTTTGGAGTGCACAAGTGTGTGAAAAAAAATGTCACCATGAATGGGTGACACAGAAATTGTACAAATCCCCTCTGCCCACTGCTGTTCACTAAATAGGTGGAACGCAAAAGGCAGATGGAAATTACCGATTAAGATTTCTATGCAGACGTAACCAGTAAATTAATCAAGCATTAGTAAAGCGTCAAGACTAACCTTATTCAAACACCGTGGCGGCGCGTTTCAGCTTCGCTGAAGCATACGGAGCACTTCAGGGGTAGGTACAGAGAGCGAATATTGAGGAACGGGAAAAGCAGCGCTGGCTGCGAGAAAACTTCGATGCTATGGAAGCCCTACGTGACCGAAGATCTTCCCGTAGAGTTACAGGACGTGCGAACGCTTGGTCTCAGCGCTTTAGTTTCTCTCTCTCTTTCTCTGGAATTTGGATGTCAGAGTCGGGCCTAGGAGTGTCTGTGGCTTAACTAGAGCCTCCCCGCACTAAAGGTGACCAAAAAACAGCCCAGCATCCCTTACTTATGCCACGTTGTTAGTATACTAACAACATGGTATAACCTAGCTAAAGCCTGTAGCAACAACCTAGAAGCAACCATATATATTGAATTCCACAATTGTCCAGCTTCGATGTTTCAAGCCATTCACGACTTTGTGCTATCTCTCCAGCAGTTTAAGTATGATTTCTTGTTCTATGTTTCGATAGATACCATTTTTGTGAGACGAATTTTCACGCCTGTAGATGCTGGCGCGTTTAATATTTTAAGCTTCCAATAAAATTCTGCACGCAAGTGAATGGTAGTGGTACATCCTCCGAATTCTCAGAACAGACTCCAATTACAGGCTGTTTCGCGCCGAGAAAAACGAAAAGCAACCATTAACCAACTGACCTTTAACCTTCCAACACGCGATGCCCGTCACGTAGGGGGCGCTGTCTCGAAAAAGACGTTCCGCACTTCACGAAGAGTCAATTAAGGGAAACTACGGGCGGTGACAAAAGCCGCGCAAAGGCAGCAGGACGGTGTATGATGTGCATGCCTGTATGGGCGGCCGATTCGTGGTTAATGGTTTTTTTATTGCCCCAAACACGAACACCGACTGTCATATACTCAGATGTACACATATCAGCGGCCCATGATGGATTTCGCTCCGAGGATATGAACCAGAAACTTTTGGTCTAAACCTGTACGGCGACAATCGAGATGTTTCGCTCTTGTGGCTGCTTGTCGCCTACGAGCTTTAAATAGCGATTAAGTCACGTGGTCTCATTTGGTATTCCGCGAGCGCAAGGTGTCAGCGAGGTGGACAGCGAAGAACAATCGTTGCGTTTGCCAGAGCTCAGCTCAGTGTGGCTAGGAACCGGGAAAAACGAATAAGTGGTGGATGGCCGCCATGATTGCCTAGTGGGTATAGGGTGTTTGACTGCTGGCCAGATGGTCGTGGTATTGAGTCCCGGTCGCAGCGGTGGCATTTCCATGAAGACGAAGTGCTGATAGGGCTCATGTTATTAGATTTAAGTGTGCGTTAAAGAGCCTCAAAACGTTAAAGTTTCTGAAGCCCTCCACTACGGCGTCACAAATAGTGGTTTTGGGACAATAAATCCAACATTTTTTTATATTATCGAGATGAAGGTTTCATGCCCTCAACCTCGCTTTTTAAGATCAAGCCATCATTTGATCTTGAAAAGTGATGTTGAGGGTATGGATCCTTGTGCTACTTTGGAGGTGCCAATACTTTGGTTGTGAAAGAGGGACGACGTTTCTATAACCTTTTTTTTTTTTTCGCCTTTCATTTCTATCTTATCTCACACGATTTAGTGGTTACAGACACCCACGCCGGCGGCGGACAACGTGCACTGCCATTGTGATCTGATAACAGTTTTCGCTATTGAGCTAAACATGAAGCCTAGCCCCCTTTCTCAGTTTCTGCGATAACCATGAGGTAAATTTCGAAGAGCATGAATGTTCTCACGGCGCCGACACCATTTGAGCGAAATATGTTCTGGGGCATGTTGCTGTCCTTGAAAAGCTGTCACTGTTAGTAAGATATTTTAGTTAGCGGGTGTGACGTGTAACCGCGTTCTGCCCCAGCCTCGCGCTGTGGGAAAAAAATTAAGGATTTGGAATACCCCAGTCACTACCCTTGCTAACGATTGGTTGTTCAGAAAATATGTGTTAACGATGACACAAAAAAAAAAAACTTTAACAAGGTGCTTCATTGGGCTGGTTGGTGCAGCATGTTAGACTCAGAACTGTTCTCGTCTCTTCTATCCCCTCCTGTCGTTTGCGCTGTTAAGTACTTTCTTCGTCTAACAAAAACAAACGCTCGCTAAGGTGAATCATTGATTAGTGCTGAGCCGAAATGTTCGATCATGGCCGATCTCACGCGCATTTAAAAGGAAGCAAAATGCTAGATGTCTGTGCACTGTTCGATATCAGTACACGTTAAAGAATCCCAAATGGTAGAGAATATCCCATGCCCTCATTTACGGCACCTCTCATATCCTGAATCTCTTTTGGACGTTAAAGCCATGAACCGGCAAATCGGCGAACCCAGTATGCCGATGTGGCATCATACGGTATATCGCTAAGCTGTCGCACTGCTAAGTTCAGTGCCGCGGTTTGATTCGAACCACGGTGGCCTATTCCCAAAAGTCCTCGTATGCTAACATTCAGATGCACGCTGTAAGCCCCAGGCAACCCGGTTTTTCCTTTCCCGCTGCGGTGTGCCTCATTAACATATCATGGTTTTAGCACGCAAAGCTCCTTGAATAACACGCACACGCACGCGCACATAAATAATCCTATTTGGAAATGAAGTGGTTTTTTTATCATGTTGCGACGTGATAGCGGCCCGAAACGTGCTGAAGCGCGTTCCGAAGGACCGAATAAAGTTCATCCATCCATCCATCAAACCAGAAGCTGATTTGCGAAGAAACACGAATGTTAGAAGACCTACTGACCGACGGTGTCAAACTGTATCCGTTTTAAAAAGCTGACGACGAGTTTTTTTTTTTCTTTTCGTGGCTCACCGGAAACGTGTTGCAGCAGAATGTTAAACCAAGGTTTTTCCTTACTATTTATAGTAACCATGACGTATATCCGGCTACTTGTGTTTCGGTGCATCTAAGCATGAAACCCTTGGGCCACGCAGTAGCACTCGAAATTTCGATTGGAGCTTTTTTTTTTTTTCATTGGCAGGGGTGGGGAGGAGAGTTTGGTGTCCATGTGCCGAAACATAGAATGTGCAGATGCAACATTGCAGCTTTCGATAAAGTCGTAGTTTCATTCTTGTAAGTCTTAGTTTGTGGTCGTATGAAGTTGTTGGGTAAGCAGTAAAATACTAAAAATCTCTTTTATGTGATCGCTCTTCCAACGGCGTCACCAACTGTCCCCCCGTCATCGAGCGTTTTTTTTTTTTTCGAAGCACTATGTACTTCTATCGCGGTCGTCGGCTACAGGTCTCTCACCCGAGCTGTCTTTCGCAGAGGTAGAAATGAAATGCCGTCCCCCGAAGGCGTTGATGCGAACAACGTGCTGAGAAAACAGAAGCGTTGTGCGTGCAAAGAGGTGTAATCGAAGAGCTGCGTCTATGTTCGTGGCGCTCAAGAAAAACCAATTCTCTGGCGAAAAGGAAACACAAGTAACCGCGAATAAGTTTAAAAAGAGACGACTTGGATGCCGGCGGACAGGCATTCCTAAACACCTGCGACGCTCACCAGATTTATATTTATCGTATCTGCGCTTGCCGTAGCCAACTGCGAGACCGACGACTCCACGCTTCTCGCCAGAGCCCACAACCAGTTCACCGTCGATCTGCTCAAGGAACTCGCGATCGAGAATCCCTCGTCAAACGTCTTCTTCTCACCGACTAGCATTGCAGCCGCGTTCGGCATGGCCTACGTCGGCGCGAGGGGAGGATCCGAGTCCGAGCTGAATTCGGTGTTCGGCCACACGGATGTGGGTCTCACTGACCGAAGCAGATTGATTACGGCGTGCAAAAACCTCCTGGGACTCTCAGCTTCGCCCAATGTCACTCTTGACATGACCAACATGGTTCTTGCGCTGGATCGCTTCCTCATACGACAGCTACGAACAGCAGCTTCGCGAAATCTTTGACGTGGTCTTGAGGTCAGCAAACTTCATCGAGGATGGCCCCAGGTTGGTGGCTGGAGTCAACGCATGGGTACGTGGAAAGACAAGGGGCAAGATCTCCGCCATCCTACCAGAGGGCCAGCCGCTGGACATCGTGCTCTTCATCCTGAACGCTGTATACTTCAAGGGCACCTGGGTGATTCAATTTGACGCCCACAGGCAACACCGCCTAGAAAAGGTTTTCTAGATGGTGTTGCCACAGGACGATAAACAAGCCCTTCCTCAACCTGGGAACCACAGAGGCGAGCAAGCCGGCGATGCACTCGAGGGCGCGATTCCTTTATGCGAGAGTGGAACCCCTCCACGCATCGGCCCTGGATATACCATACGAGGGAGACCGGTTCACTATGGTGGTCCTGCTTCCGGACAACGTCACTGGACTCGCAGCGGTCAGGAACGGCCTGTCGCTAGCCACCCTCGAAGACGTGGGCAGCAGGCTGAGCTTCAGGGACGTCATCCTGCAGCTTCCCAAGTTCGATAGGAATCTTAGTTACAACTTAGTTCCAGTGATAAGGGCCATCGGGTTGAACTCTGTGTTTGGAGGATCGGCCGACTTCAGCGGTATAAGCGACGCCGTGCCACTCGCCCTATCCGATGTGTGCCACAGGGCTGCCGTCGAAGTGAATGAAGAAGGAACCATCGCAACCGCGGTCGCTGGGCTTGATATCGTGGCTGTGTCGGCTCAGCTTAATCGGTCGCCGCCCATTGAGTTCACGGTGGATCACCCGCTCGTCTTCTACGTCAGAGACAGGAGCACCAACCGGGTTCTCGTCATCGGAGAGGTTAACGCTCTATGATGAGCGGGGTCCTTTTTCTGCACCACATACTGCGAGAGGATTTACGAGCATGAGAAGAATATGCGATGATGTTACGATGTAATAAAGAGCGACCTTTAAGTAAAACACGCTCTTTTAGTACACCTCCAATGTATTTTCTTTACTGGCAAAGCCAACAGTTTGTGCGTATGCGACCTACCAGTGCCTGTAATAAGAATGAAAAATTGTATGACAACAGTAATACCACGTCTCTGTGTACGTGTCAATGACATTTTGACGGAGAACAGACATGAAGCCAGTCTATAACATCGCAAGGAATCAAATATTAGGGGTCATAATAGTAAAAAAAAACATCAAGTCAGTGACACTGCTTTTGGGTGATCATTTTAAGTCATTTTACGGCCTACTTTTTGTAAATAAAATAGAGAGACCTGACCCGCCATGGTGTTTTAATGTTATGATGCTCGGCTGCTGACCCATAGGTGGAAGGATAGAATCCCAGCCGCAACGGCCATGTTTTCGTTGGAGGTTAAAATTCTTGAGGCTCATGTGCTTAGAATTATAGGCGCGTTAAAGAAACCGGGATAACTGAAAACTTCAAAGCTCACCATTACGGCGTCTTTCATAAACCTATCATTGTTTCAGGGCGTTCGGAAATCCCTACAATTATTTTTTAAAGGCAGACAAGGACCTTTTTTTTGTGCTCTCTCTCTCTCCTTCCACATTTAGTTTTTCATGCCTCTTAAGAACCTCCCAAGTTCGATCACCAATACAAGCACACGTGCGAGACATCCGAACTTGCAAAACGCGTCAATAACGAGTGTGGCGCCATCGGCTCTTACGAGACCTTCAATACGTCACTCTTGGTTGCACAATTTGCTGTACCGATTTTCCGTTTCTTTAGGCAAAACCTACAACTGAAATGGCCTCCTACCTCTCAGTTTATAGAAATATGCTATTGTCTTTATCTAGATAATCATTTTCATGGAAACAAATAAATAGGAAATGAGGACTTTTCTGAAGAATATTTAATGTCACTTTTTAATTATATTGATGAAAACAAGTGGTTTTTATTTAGCGTCTGTCGTGCAAAGTATAGTGCAACAAATGCCAACTATGTTGATTGTTTATGCCACTTGAGAAACTACCCCACCCTCACTTTTTTTAAACTATTATGGTCTTATTGTATAAATATAAAACATGAGCTCTGCTGCCTGAGGGCCAATAAAAAATTGCAGCATATCCACGGAGTGAATGATGGAGAGTGGGGTGAAGCATCCGTCCGTCCATTCGTTCTTGCTTTCGTCCGTCCCTGCGTTCGTCCATGCAGCCGCCCCTGCGTCCGTTCATGCGTTCATCCATGCATCTGTCCATGCGTCCGTTCGTCCATCTATTCAACGCTCCAAGTACCACCATCTCGTATCTTTTCATCATAAATTCACCATATAGAAGCACCGCCATCCAGCGGACATTCCAAGGACTAAACGAGAGGTGGCACACGCACACTTTCTTACGGCTTGCGCTTCGGGTCCACTTCCCACCTTTAACCACCTCGAGTTCATGGTATATACTAGTTCACTGTATTCATGGCACTGCGGCCAAACGCTCGCTAAACGTTTCGAAAACCAAGGAGGTTACGCCCAGCGAGTATGACGTAGCAAACTTTTAAGTGTGAATACACTTTATAAGCGACCCCGAACCATCCACCGCCGTCGGCGGCGTCCGCAGTCTTCTCTCTATCTTTAAAAGAAAGAGGACTTGGCGGGCCGCAGCGCGACGCTCTACCGAATAAGCTACGGACGCGACGCTGATATCGGTGTCGCTCCTCCGCTCTCCTCGCTCGCTGCAGCTGCGCGCGCACTCCTCTCTCTCGCGCGCCCGCCTTCTCTCTCGGTCTCCCGTCGAGAGCGGGTCGTGCGATGGATGTCCCGGAGGCAACGCTACCATCTGGATATAAGGCGCGTTACTGACACCGATATATATATATATATATATATATATATATATATATATATATATATATATATATATATATATATATATATATATATATATATATACGGTTACACATAACGTTACACATATATATACGGTTACACATGCTAATGGGAAATGAGAGGCGGAGAATTTGGCTTTTACTTTTTTACGGCTTGCGCTTCGTATCTACTTCCCATTTTTAACCCCCTCGAGTTCATTCATGGTATATACAAGTTCATTGTATTCATGGCACTGCGGCTCAACGCTCGCTAAACCTTTCTAAAGCTAAGGAGGTTACACCCAGCGAGTATAACGTAGCAACCCTTTCTTGTCAGATAGTGCTCAATGTACATGCCAATGACTGCTAATGGTGATCGCAGCCTGCGCGTTAACTAAAAGCCGAATGCTACTGTCTCTCATTCCCCATTAGCAGCCATTGACATGTACATTGAGCACTATTTTTTATTGTTCAACAACGCACAGAAGAAGTCTCTCACCGGCACCACCCTGGAGGTCAAAATGTTATACTTGTTACATACTACGGAGGACGAATGAGTGCCGCTATAAGGAGTTTCGCCCCTAAAAATGTTTTTCCGCCAACCATTCAAAGATCTCTGGCAGTGATTAATACGACATGTCGATCAACACATATTTGAAGCGGTACTCCGTCACTCGCTTGTTTCAACATTGAGAAGAGATTTACGTTTACATCAATACTCGCAAAGGGGAAGCGAGGCGTGACAAATAATGAAAAAAGAAAAAGAACGTTTAAGAGCTTTCGCTGGGCTCTTAAAAAGGGGGAAGAAAACACAGCGTCAAGCCTAGCCTGTACCCTCGGTTTCCGCGATAACCATAGATCATTTCAAACTACGCGAACACTTTTTCTCAGTGCCGCAACCATTTTATCGGGATACGTCTTGTGACATGTCGTTATGTGTAACCGTAATTTGTCAGAGCCTTACGTTGTACAAAATGTTAGGGACTAGAAATATGCAAGTCGACACCTCCACTCTATTCTTCAGCTCGTGATTCGGTGTTCACGAAGTGTATTTATAGCGACAATGCACGTGGTGTGCACACGCCCGCACACGTGGCTCTGTTACTAAGGTGCCGAAGCGTAAGACGTGGGTTCGATCCCGGCCATGGCGACCGTATTTCAATGGAGGCCAAATGCTATAAGCCCGAGTTCTAAATGATGTAGGTGCACGTTAAATCACAAGAAATCGACGAAGTTATCGGGAGCTCTCCACTACGGCGTCCCGCATTCGCTTTGGAACGGTGAACCAACGAACCAGCTAACCAGCGAACAACATAGAACCGGCCGTCTTAGCTTGGTGGCTCAGGTGTCGAACTGCTAAGTCCAGTGAGAACAGTGTCACTCTCACCACAGTGCCAGATTTTCAAATATACCCGTGTGGTTACACTGAGGTGCACGCTAGTAAACCCCAGGCAATCCAGAGTTTCCCGCTGTGGTGTATTTGATGCTCATATCATAGTTTCCGCGCACAAAGTCATTTGGGTAACACACACGAACGCAGACACAATGAAATCCGACACTGGTGTCCTTGTTCTTCACCACAGAATTGTCTTCGTCATGGCACAGAACACGACCTGCTGACTGACGATGTGAAACTGTATCCGTTCTGCAAAGCTGACGACGAGTTTGTTTTTTTTTCTCAGTGCACCTTGAGACAAGTTGACACGAGGCACCCGAAAATGTGCTGCAGCTGAACGTTCAACCAAGGTTTTTCCCCGCTGCCCTAGTAACTCTAACTGATGCCCGGCGACTCAAGTTTCAGTGCATCTCAGCAGGCAACTCTGGTGTGACGCACACAGGGTTCTTAGATGGCATTGACATCAGCGATTGACGTTTGTTATGAATGACATTAAATTACTATCTGCCAATACAGAAAAGGCACAGGGGCTACAACAAGGGGTCGTCGGGTGCGTAGCAGAATACTAAAGGCCTTCATTATGCGGCAGAAGTACCAACGCCTTTACCGACTGTCTAGCGACATCAGATGTTTCTTTCTTTCTTTCTTTCTTTTTTTTGAAGCACGCCGTATACTTCTTTCGCAGTCAGCGACGTGCCTATATCTGAGCTGTCTTTCACGGTGGTGGAAACGAAATGCCGCGTGCCACTGACGTAGATAAACCCCAAGTGCTGACAAAGATTGAGGCAATCGCATACACTTGAGGCGGATGGACGTCTAGCGTTGTGTCTGCAATGAGGTGAAATCCGAGATCCTCGCCGGTGCTCGTGACGTCAAAGAAAAACCAACTCTCTATCAAAAAAAAAAAAAATGAGGTCACCGCAACTCGGTTTAAAAAGAGGCGACTCAGAAACCCGCGACTATAGGCGTTCGTATACACTCGCGATGGTCGCTAAATTTCTCTTTCTCGCGTCGGCTCTCGCCGTAGCTCACTGCGAGACCGACGACTCCACGCTTCTCGCAAGAGCCCACAACCAGTTCGCCATCAATCTGCTCAAGGAACTCGCGACCGAGAATCCCTCGTCAAATGTCTTCTTCTCACCGACTAGCATTGCAGCCGCGTTTGGCATGGCCTACCTCGGCGCAAGGGGAGGATCTGAGTCCGAGCTGAATTCGGTGTTCGGCCACACCGATGTGGGCCTCACAGACCGAAGCAGGTTGCTCACGGCGTACAAAAACCTGCTGGAACTATCTGATTCGCCGAATGTCACTCTTGACGTGGCCAACATGGTTCTGGCGCAGGATCGCTTCCCCATATCCGACAGCTACAAGCAACAGCTTCGCGAAATCTTTGACGCGGACTTGAGGTCGGCAAACTTCGTCGAGGATGGCCCCAGGGTGGCGGCCGAAGTCAACGCATGGGTACGTGAAAAGACAAGGGGCAAGATCTCCGGCATCCTACCGGAGGGCCAGTCACTGGACATAGTGCTCTTCATCCTGAACGCTGTATACTTCAAGGGCACCTGGGTAACCAAGTTCGACGTCCACAGGACCATAAACAAGCCTTTCATCAACCTGGGAACCACGGAGGTGAGCAAGCCGGCGATGCACTTGAGGGCGCGATTCCCTTACGCGAGAGTGGAACCCCTCCACGCGTCTGCCCTGGAGATACCGTACGAGGGAGACCGGTTCACCATGGTGGTCCTGCTTCCGGACAACGCCACTGGGCTCGCAGCGGTCAGGAACGGCCTGTCGCTAGCCGCCCTCGAAGACGTGGGCAGCAGGCTGAGCTTCAGGGACGTCATCCTGCAGCTTCCCAAGTTCGATATGAGCCTGAGCTACGGCTTAGTGCCTGCGATGAAGGCCATAGGGTTGAACTCGGTGTTTGGAGGATCGGCCGACTTCAGCGGTATCAGCGAGGCCGTGCCGCTGGTCATATCCGACGTGCTCCACAAGGCTGCCGTCGAGGTAAACGAGGAAGGAACCATCGCGACAGCCGTCACTGGTCTTGGTTTCGTGCCGCTGTCGGCCCACTACAACCCGCCGCCACCCATTGAGTTCACCGTGGATCACCCGTTCATTTTCTACATCAGAGACAGGAGTACTAACCGTGTTCTTTTCATTGGAGAGGTCAACACACTATGAAGAGCGGACTCATTTTTACGCGACACTCTGTGCGAGAGGACTAACGAGTATGATAAGCGAATGAATTGATTTCGCGACAAAAATATATAAATAAAGACGGCCTCATATAAAGTACACCATTGGAGTACATCTCCTGCGTATGTGTTTTTCTTTAATAGAAGGGGTAGAATGTTTTATATGTATGCAGGATAGTTTCCATGAGGACGAAAAGTGTATGACAACGTTAAAGCTGTGTATTCGAAATTAGTGAAAAATTTATCCAGCATCGGACATTGACGATACAGCGAGGCTGGTGGCCTTCCTATTATCAGACTATCACATTTATTTGTATTTTAGGTATTTGTTAGGCTCTTTGTTAATTCTCTTTGTTAAAATTTCAAGTGGTAGCCAGCAGTCACCATCTTTCATAACCACCAAGTATCACGTTACGGTGTTACATGTGCTGCGGTGATGCGCGCGCCAGTTGTTCGGCTAACTGTTGCCTTGTTTCTTTTTAGTGGACCAGTGGTGAGCAGTGGATTATCCCTATTCGCACATACCCGCCTATGATGCCCCGTGCGTTGCCACGGATCCCGAACATGACAGCCTCGTCTAATAACAGCTGTACTAGAAATACACGGCTCACCCTATGCCTTTTTCCCTCTTTCACAATTTTTTCAGATCTTTGTTTTAATAGCAAGAAACAGGTTTTCCACGCCTTCAGTTTTTTTTTCAGACGCGCATAAGACACTTAAACGGGCTTGGAAGTGCAATATAATTAAGAATGAAAGCCCGCGTGAAATCAAACTAAAGTAAAAAGCTGTTTCTTTTCCTCTCTCTTCGAAGATACATGTGCTTTTAAAAATGAGGAAAATTCAGTTTTTTGCTTCTGCAAATATGATCAGGCCTGACCCAACCATCTTCTTTTTAATACCTGAAATTTGTATTGAGGCAGAAATCAATATAGTACATAATCGTCGATACTCAGAAATAAAATATGGCTTTGACGCTCATAAATTGGAACACAGTATTTGGGCCTGAATTAGTTCGGAAAATCGCAATCTTAGCTACTCTATACCATCTTGCTTTAGTCAACTATCCACGAGTGTTTTTCGAGCTAAATAAAAATTTAAACTGAAATACTTTGTCGCAATAATCTTTAACTCTTTCCTGATACTTATTCTTCCCTCAGGTAAATGCCCCTGTGGTATCAAAACCTAAAGATAGTTAGCTATTTTGCATCAGGTTATGCATTGCTCTTGGTGTACCACAAGATTTATTGAAGTTTTCTTTTTTTTGCTCCTTTTCATTCTGCACGCGTTAAAATGATGTTACAATAATTTTTCACGTTGTCTTTTGTTCTCTTGTTTTTTGTATTTTTTCTTTTCTTTACGTCCCCAAAGATTTAATGATGTCCTACTATTGTATTGCTGTTATTGCATGAGTGAATGTCAGGGCTAGGTGACGTTGCATGTATCATTATCAGTTTTACTTTGCCTTGAACTACTGTATAAGCGCGTCTTTTTTATGCATATATACGCAAAAAATGTTTGTATCTATGTGGTCTTAGATACATTGAGTATTGTGGTCCGGTGTCTGTACGCTCTGCCCTTTAAGCCCAATGAGGCTTTGGCAATTTAATTTTGTATCACTGTATTGATATGTGGGGATTAACGTCCCAAAACCACCATATGATTATGACAGACGCCGTAGTGGAGGGCTCCGGAAATTTCGACCACCTGGGGTTCTTTAACGTGCACCTACAACATTTCCGCCTCTATCGGAAATGTAGCCGCTGCAGCAGGTATTCGATCCCACGACCTGTGGGTCAGCAGCTGAGCACTTTAGCCACTAGACCACCGTAGTGGGGCAATCTTTTATCACTATGCTGCTCTTTGAAATTGCTAATAAATATATTATTATTATTATTATTGTTGTTGTTGTTGTTGTTGTTGTTGTTGTTGTTGTTGTTGTTGTTGTTGTTGTTGTTGTTGTTGTTGTTGTTGTTGTTGTTGTTGTTGTTGTTGTTGTTGTTGTTGTTGTTGTTGTTGTTGTTCTAAATCACAGTGAATGAATGATATAGAATTTTTTTTCTGCGATGAACTTAGTACCATCTTCGTGCTTCCGTCGGTAGCGTTTTCTTGTTCCTGGCAACCGTTCAAGGCCTTTAAAAGGCTTCATCTCTTCTCCTTTTTAGCTACTTTTGTTCTTTGCCGTTTTTGATAACTTCCTTTTTAATAGATCGGAGCTCAGTATCTTCGTTTGATATCTCTTTTATTAGAAGTACACCGTATTATAACAAGCACCAAAAGTGATAAAAAGTAAGAAAATTGCCCTCTTGCACTGTATATTCGAGTTTTTTTCTTACGACATCATGTTCTTCAGTAAGTACCAATTTGTCCATCAAAATTAATCAAGCAACGGAAGAATGGAATGAAAACATTTATGACGCAAATAAAACAGATTGAATGTGGTCCCACTGGTTGTTGTGGTCGCATTGTTTTCGATGCGCTGCTCATTTTAATATGCAGGATTGATTCAAATAGGTGCACTATGGGGCTCAGTTTTTTATTTGAATTAAGTTTTTAATTTACGTTAACATCATGAATTGCTTCACTTTGATTACAAATGCTCTAAATGCGGAATATACGTCGGCATGCTTCATGTACCCGTGAAATTGAGCCTAGATTCGGTTTCTGCATTTGGCCTTAAAAAAATCACATATATGAAAAGCCTCGGAGCGTCAATACAATCATTTTTTCCAATTTTTCTATTATTTCGTTATAGTGTTGAAACGGGATACTTATCAAAACTGTAAAACCTGTTGCGGCACACATAGAGCGTAATATTTCGTCTGCTTTAACGTGCTATGTTGATATAGCTCTAAGTTACAGCACATTTCTCGCACAGCCAGTTAGCAGAGAAATTCTAGCTTTCTTTTTCATCTGAATTAGGGTGGTTGAGTCGCACACTCCCGAATACATGAACGTACATCCAAACGAAAAACTACTAAAGGTGCCTGTCATCGTTGCGACGGCTTGCAAGTATTTTATTTCGGGATGTGAATGCCAGTCTGATCATCCGATACGCACTGCTTCAGTTCCTCCTTTAGCCACACTGTCATCACGTACAGCGAATACCTCGATTCCTTGACCGGATTCAAAAGCTACAAAGGTGCTTTAGCAGAGCTTAGTTACGAGATACTGAGCTGGGAGCGTCCCAAAGCAGTTGTCGGGAATAAACGCACTTTTTGTCCCTTCATTGATTCCCCTCGTCAATCTTTACATTTAGCTTTTGCCCAGTGGAGACAGCAGACAGGAGCAAGCGATATTAGTTAGCCAAACTTATCTGTCACATGCAAACACGCACGCACGCACGCACGCACGCACTACACACATAACACACACCCATTGTGTTATCTCAGCATCTTTAATGTTGATATTTTTATCAGACGCTATACTTCCTTATCCTTGGTGATGTACAGGCTACTGCCACTTGCGAAGCAAGTAATCTTCATCATCTACAAGTGATCAAGTCATATTAAAAAACGTTTCATTGGTTGTCATATATTGATTTATGAGTTCAGCAAAAGTAGCAGAAGTCTTTAATGGTTGAATATTAATAATCTAAGCCTCAGGTGCTCCTGCGTCAGTATTCGCGCCACTAGCGTCACACTCTAACCATAACATTTTCTGCGTCAGGCATATTGTTTCATACAACAATACCACCAAACTCTGGTGCCGGGTGTATACGTTCGAGCTACCTCAAAGTACCCCACAAATTCCTGGACTGATATTTGTGCTATCTTAAGTTAACTGTCATATAAGTTAGGTGTGCGCCGTGTTGAACTTATATGCGCACAAAGTATAACAGTAACGGTGACGTTTTTTTATGCGACAAAGGGAATGACGGCCTAATTTGTTGCGTCTGTAGAGAGGAAGAAGAATATGTGTCAATAAACCCCGTTTCACGTCTAACATTTAGTTCTAGTACCGCACTTCCTGTTTAATCTGTCGGTGTGCATGGCGCTTTGCACCACTGAGCCTTGTACTTACGTTTGAAACACTTTGTATATGGTAAAGTAACTTTTTCGTCCCAATCATGTTCATTTTCGAAAGTGCTCAGCTTCTACTTTCGCGAACAGATGTTTGATTTACAAGACCTTTCTCAGTTAGTCTTGCTTTTGCGTGAGTCTGAAAGCCAACTCATCTTCCATCGTCGGATTACTTGGGCGAAACTCCGCAAATGTGATGGACGAGTAGTCTTTTTTTTTCAGTTCTGTAAAACTCGCATATGCCACTCTCACGAGCGAGGGTTCCCGTTTCTTTTTGTATATTTCATTCGGCCTGTGGCCCAATCCAACTACGTTCAATTGCGACATTACCGATCACGTAATCGAACGGACGCCCGATGAGCCGAGTCCGCGCGCCTGCCGCGCAGGCGCTGTTGCCAATCTGTCACCGGACAGCTCGATATATGACCCCGATCACGAAGCATCGCTCACGATGACCCACAGCTAGAAGGCTAAAATGCGAAAACAAAGAAGACTGAATACGTGCTTGAGAGTAAGAGAAAGATGGAAGGTGGGAGAGCACAGCAGCGAGAGTGGTACCACTCAGCTTTCTATTTTTGTGCGCGTCAATAATATCAAGATGTGCTCTTGGGTTATGTAGTTCATATTCACCGTAAAGCAGTGTAGGAGAAAATAATAGACCATATGAGAAGAAGGACACGACCACAAGGTGCCTTGCGTATGTGTTATTTTTTTTGTTTGGTCTATTGTTTTTTTTTTCGGCGCTGTTTTAGTGCGAATAGGAACCAACTAGCTCAAAAGTACACCTTGACACGTGGCGTACTGATGTATCCATGCAGGAATTTGTAAAAGGTCGAGGGAGTGAGCAAGCTGCGGGTACTGCCATAGGTTTGAAGCAAAAACAAAACAAAATAAGGTCCTCTGTTCCTTCAGGCTTATAGCGCCGTTAGTGCGCAGCAGTGGCACTCTTTTCTTCGCCTTTACCTATACGATATTTCACTTCATATAGTCCGCTCTTCGTGTGACACAAAAGGGCAGTTAAATATTGTGAAACTGAGAAATAAAGGCAGCTAGCTCTGCTCTGCGCAAGCCGTCGAAGCAGCA